TTCCATGGATTGGAAAACAGGAACCTGCAGGGCTTGGGTACCACAGAGGAACCTCTCCTGCACCTGAGTCCTGGCCGTATGAGCAGAGGTGCAGAGCCATATGTGTCACCCCACAGACCGTTAAGATGCTAAGCCTGTGTATCTCATGGTTCCTGTGGACAGACAGGCTCCACTAGACGTCACCATGTCTGTTTGACATGTTAGCCTCTTGGTGGTTTGCTGGAAGTCATTACTACCTAGCAGGGGTCACAAAACTGAATAGAAGTGACTCTATCTGACACAATTTAGACTTTAGCACTTTACACCCTCAACAAAGAGTAATCTGGAAGCAGAGTGGTGTTTCTGACAATGGTGAGTTACACACACAGCAGGGTTTTGGCTCCAGCACAGCCTCATGAGAACATTGCTCACAGGTTTCAGGTCTGTACATGCTACAGAGCTGCTCCTGAAGCTCACTCTGGCATTATCATTTTGCAGGGTACCTTTGAGCCTGTAATCTCCAGCAGAGTTCTTGCAGGGTTTATGAGGTGAATCCTCAGAAAGTTTGTGTTCTCTGCAAAAGCATCTGCAGGACAGGTCACAGAAGCCCCTTGGGTAGCTGTTGCACCCATCAGGCTGATGATGCCTGTTGGCCAGAACATACTGAGCTGCTGTTCCCCAAACTTTTCACTATTTCAGGATTTATGCCAAGTGTAGGAAAATAACTCAAATTTTCATAGCCCTGCATATCTCGTCTTCACTGTTGGGAGAAAAGCTCCCTGCATTCCCCTGCACTGTGAATGGCTTGTGTGATTTCCAGGTTGGATGCCTTCAACATTTACCTTCTTGTTTCCTCACCCTGGAAGCTCTCAGTAGCTGCTTCATATCTCTGCTGTCATCCCTGCTTGATCCCTGCAGCATGCAAGGCAAGTGTCACATGGAAAAAGCAGTCTCTGAGCTGCTTCTCTGAGCACACAGAGCAAACAAACACAGAAATGAGGTCAGAGATTTCCATGAAGTTGCGGCACTCCAGCAGTTCAGCTCCATATACAGCCCTATCCAAGGAGATACAAACAAGACTTTTTACAAGGGCATGTAGTGATAGGACAAGGGAGAATGGGTTTAAACTGAAAGAGGGGAGATTGAGATTAGCTATTATGAAGAAATTCTGCCGTGTGAGAGTGGTGAGGCACTGGCACAGGTTGCCCAGAGAAGCTGTGGCTGCCCCATCCCTGGCAGTGCTCAAGGCCTGGTTGGATGGGGCTTGGAGCAACCTGGTCTAGTAGGTGTCCCTGCCTGTACCAGGGAAGGTGGAACCGGATGAGCTTTAAGGTCCCTTCCAACCCAAACCATGCTGTGATTCTATGAAGACTAAGCAAGCCGTCCTCTAAAAGACCTGTGTGACTGCCACAGGGGCACTCAGGAGACACTCAGAATAGCGTGTGTGCCTCTGTGAATCCGAAGAGGGCTCATGGCACCCGCAGGGCTGTGGCCGGGGCTCCGCCGGGTCCCCTCGCACGCTCGGGGCGGGGTTCGTCCCCTTAGCGGGAGGGTGGCGCTGCTCTCTCTGGTCGCCAGGTGGCGCCGTCGCCCAGGCCACTGCCCGGCAGCTCGGGAGCGTGAATGATGCGGAGCCAGGGACCGGGAGTACGGCGGCTGGGGAAGGGAAAGGGAAGGCAAGGCAAGGCAAGGCAGGGGAAGGGAATCACAGGCTGGTCTGAGTTGGAAAGGACCTTAAAGTTCATCCAGTTCCAACCCCCTTGCCATGGCTAGGGACACCTTCCACTAGACCAGGCTGCTCCAAGCCCCATGCAACCAGGACCTGAACACTGCCAGGAATGGGGCAGCCACAGCTTCTCTGAGCACCCCTGTGCCAGTGCCTCACCACCCTCACAGTGAATGGTCCTCGTTTTCAACAGAGCACGTCCCCCAGGAAGATGTATTGACAGCCTGCGTGGGTTTATCACTTGGGTTCTGTGAGTCCCTTTTGAGAGATGCACGGAGGAACACAGTGATTTTCCCAAGGACCCCCTGGGGTACCAATTTCCCTGGGAATGGAAATAAAAGCCTTCTCACTGGCCCGTGCCCCATACTGGTCTCTAAAATATATCACATAGTTCAACCCCTGTAGTTTGATCCTACTATGAACTGGTCTTCTACAGAGAGCACTCTTCTTGGGTTTTCCTCCTGATCATCCTGTGCTGTTGGCTCTGAGCTCCCATCTCTGCCCAAGACACTTGCAGCAGCTTCACAGTACCATTTAGTAACATCACACTTGAGTCCAGAGACATTTGATACTGCAGCCAGCACACAATTCAGAAGTCCATCACAGTCCAGACAAATTCCCCCAGATTCAGAGATCAGATCCCTGTCTCAGCTCTCTGTAGTCTCTGAGTCCAGCCAGCATTTCAGTGCCCACCAGTGTTTGTCTCCACAGCTCCCTGCTTTAGGCATTGCCAGGTCTCCCTGTGGGGTGCTCCTCTCCCTTTCCAGGCACCTGGGCAAAGGGCAGTCCATGACATTTTCCAGTCAACATCTGCTGTTTGTTTTGGCCCTCCTACAGGTGTTTCCAAATGACTTTCGTGGGAGAAACATGGAAAACAAGATTCAGGGCAACCTGCTGAAGGAACTGGAAGACTGAAGGTGAAAATTCCCCAGCGTGACTTCTGCTTTTTGCAGCTTTGGATCTCCATCCTGCCTTGCTCTGAACCCCGGTACAAGCGTGCAGCACCGAGCCCTGTGGGAGAGGTAAAGCCCATCCACAGTTCTCAGAACTGCTTAGGAGTTTATCCAGAACCCAACCTCTGCTCTGGGAAACCTGTGACTTCAGAGACAAGTGGGTTTGGACAGGCTGAAAATGCAGCAAGAGCAGCAGATTTCCTTTGGATGTGTGGACACTGTTGTAGGTTTCATGAGACATCAGTAAATGAAAAAATTGAGTTATTTAGTAGTCAAACATTCACATGTAAGCACTGGAAGGTGAAGTCACAAGTTTGGAGCTAGTTGCATAAAATGCAAACAGACACAGAAGTAAAAACAAGTGGAGGAAACATACACGTCTGTAAGACTGCCTGAGCAAAGCCGTGTAAGTCAGACTGAGAGCCATCAAACTTGCTCAGGCTGAATAATATCCTATTACTCCCTGAATGAGTAAGGCTGTCCTTGATAGAGCTATGGAGGAACATGATTCCAGTAAGTCATGTACAATTCTGGACTTGTTTTCTAAGCATATGTATTAATTTGTGGTGTTTTTTTTTTTTAAAAAAAAAAGCTCATTATGTTATTTTTGACCAATGCTCTCCTTTTCTATAGCTCTGATAAAGCTCAGTCTGTAAAATATTTCTTCAGCAAGCATTGACATTACCAAGAATAAAGCAAAAGAAATGTATATAAAGGAAAGATGGGGCTGTGATTAGATGTGGTGAAACAGAAGATGCCCAGCCAAACAATAAACTGTTCCTATTGACTTACCAGGGAAATTGGCCCTTTTGCTGAAGAACTACTGTGGGATTTCAGGCACAAATGAGTCTTGATGAATTTTGAGCCAACATTTGATTATTCATTATTTCATAAGTACTGAAAACTGTATACACGCTGGGGAAGTCTCCCCGTAATGTGCATTTCTCTGGTTTCCATTCCTTGTCATTCTGCTGTTGGGGATATTGAACACCTCCTGCTGTGGAATCCCTGCCCCAAGAAAGGGATGGTGTCAGCAGAGCACAGGCAGTGCTGAGATTTATAGAGAAGTAAAGACAACTTCTGATACTAAGCAAAGAAAACTGAGCTGGATAAAGAGCTTGCTCGAGTAAAACGAAGCTTCTCTCCATCACCACCACCACCTTCTCTCTCTTCCTTTCTTAACAAAAAAGAAAAATGTAAAATCCCCACTGAGTGTATTCAGCTGTTAAAATTTTATGATACTGAGATCCCCAGTTGTCACGAGCACTTCATGTAGTTTAATATGCAGTCGTATTCTTTTCAGTTTCATTTTCTTCCGCAGCTTCAGTTAATAAAACACTTTCAGACAGCCTGTTCTTAGCAGTTACAAAGTGCCTGGGCTTCTTTTATAAAGAGGAGAAGTGTATGCAGCTTTAAGAACTAATTTGTATGCACACACCTGGGTTGTCACCTGTGGGGTACCTTCACACATACAGAAGTGAAACTGCAACCATAATTCCCATTAACATCAGGGAGAGCACCATTTGCATATTTCCCTGTGTGAAGGAGACATAGGCTGGGCGGAAGCAGCTTTTTTCTGATCACCACAGACCAGCCCTGCCATAAAAAGGTCGACCCTCTGCCCCAGCCAAGACTTCCCTTGCCTGCAGATGGCTTTGGGCTCAGGCCCAAAATGAATAAACCTCTCTGGACTTCAGAAATTCAGAGGCAAACTAGCACCTCCTGAAGTATTGCACATTCATTCTCTGTTTCATCTGCAATGAGCATGGGGATTGTTATCTACACTGTTTGTACACCTTCAGCGTGACTTTCCTAAAGGACTTTTCTGTTGCTCGACTGGCATAGATAAAATACCCAGGACAAAATCAATGCTCACATTTTCTGTTTCTAAATGCACCGACACATTTAGTCGGCTGTCGATTACGGTTCGTTCCTTCCTTGCTGGCATTTGCCCACACCAGCTGCCCTGCACATGTGGTGGTGGGAGGGACAGGGGTGTGATTCCCTGTGCCAGGGCAGTGTTGGCATTGGCAAGGAGGAGTGACTCTGACATCCACTTCTGCTGCAGAGCTCTTTGTTTGCTACTGCACACTGGCATTGCTCTGGCTCGCTACCACAACTCCCATGTATAGAAAAACCCAACCTACAATAAAAGAAGGATAAGAAAGAATAATAAAAGGATAAGAAGGATAATAAAAGAAGGAAAAGAAAGAATAAGTGTACACACCGGTAGCTCAAGGATCAGACCAGCTGGCTTAATTAATCTCAGAACAAGCATTTAAAATAAGGAGATCCAGAATCATGATTAAGCTGAAAAAAAAACAAACCACCAACTGAAAATATGCTATGGGTGAGAGGTTTTTGCTGTCATCTGACTGGTGAAATCCTTCTTTTTCAGCCTCGGCGTTCCTTTCTATTACTCTCTTGCCTTTGTGGTGTTGAAAATCACCTGGGAAATCTATTTAATGATGCAGTTTTATGTAAAAGGTAACCACATTACTGAGCTAAATATAAAGCAGTCAGAGGAACTGAAAATAAACCGTTTTTGGTTTCTTAAGAGGTAGCACTGATAAACATTTTGGTCAGCCAATGTATTTTGGGGACAATGTTTAAGGAAACATTAGCTGCTAACATGCTTAGCTAGAAGTTTTATTCTCCCTGTGCCAGTATTTACAGTCACAGTTTACTAGGAAGCCTCTAATGATAACATCTTACTCCTTGTTTAATCATCTTCTACTCAGCAAAATAATGGAGTTAATTTGGGTCCGAGACAGGATGTGGACACCATGGCTGGTTCGGGCTGGGCACCACGGCTCTGTGCACCAGGGAAGCAATCCGTGGTGTGGGGCTGTGTGCCTCAGCACTGGCCCCTTGGACAAACACTTTAACTGTTTCCCTGGGGAAAGTGAGCGTCTTTCCCCCACTGTGCTTGTCTCTCATGCTGGACCAGGGGTAGGAAACTGGCTTTTTAAAATTACAGGGATTTTAAAATGCAAAAATAGAAAGCAAAGGGAAAGGATTACTGGCAGTGTGTGGGGATGTTTTCTGAGATGGACCTGAATTCACACTGAGGGTGCCCCTCTGTTTAGTAGGGAAGGTCCAGCTGAAAGCTAACATTCTGATATGAAACCACTTCCAGCCTGCCTTTTCCTCTCCTTCCTTGATTGCCTCCTCTTTCTCTCTATGCATTTCACTCCCTCCTTAATGAATCCAGCAACAACAACAAAAAAGAACAGGGGGGAAACAGTGTGACTAACATGACAGCTGTGGCCATCACACAGTTCAGTCTGTGCCTCCTCTTTCCCTACCACTGTCTTCAGGCATAACCTCCATAAACCCGAGAATGTCTCCAGCCCGAGTACTACTGCAAAACGCTCCTTCCAACACCAAAGTGTTGACAAGAGTCAACATGAATTTTGGACTTCCCAGGATTTGTTTTCCTTTGCCAGAGGCTGCTCAATTGGTACCCCCTGGTTTGGGTCTAAGGGGTTTCTTTAGTGGAAACGGCTGTAGGTCCTTGCCTAGGAAGGCAGTAAACAACACCCATGGGCTCAGCAGGGCTAGCACTAGCAGACTGCTTTGAAATGAATAAATACAAGGAAAAAATAAATTTTCCCTGCTAAGAAAAAAGTTAAATGGCAGTAGGATGGTGGGAAGCAGCCCCTGTCCTGAGGTGTTTGCAGCTAAAACAAGGAATGAGGTAGAAACAGCATCAAAGAGAGATGGAGTGACACTCCTGGGGTAGTGTGAATACAGATTAGATTGGTACCCACACCTTTGGGGTCTCAGGTAAGCTATTCACCTGCATCCTGACACGGACAGTCACTGAGATGCCTTAAAGTCACCTCAGGGCCTGTGAGAAAATCCAGCTGCGGTGCTCAACGTGCCTGCCCATGCAGGAGTGATGAGAGGGAAGCAAGGGAAATGAGAGAAAAGAACTGTAAAATAAAAGGATGCAAATAAATTCCTTTGTGGTGTTAGGCCAAACTGTGACAGTGCAGCACTTTATACAGATTCATCTTTTTTAAACAGGAATTTGGTCTATGTTCCTGTCCATTTCCAAGCAGAACTTGTGTTTGTGATCATTCATGACAGTGAGCATTGCTCCATAACCCCAGCCTGAGCAAAGCCAAAGCTGAAAGCCTGAGCTGAGGTACTTATCCCCCAAAAAATCCTCCAAAACCCTACAGTTATATCAAGCTTAGGAAAACTGTAAGTGTGCTTCTGTAGAACATAAAAGTGCAATAAATGTCTGGAAGTTATTCCACAAATTTTTTCTAAGATCAGAAGTTACCATTCATATATGAGCTCCCACACTCACTGCACTGAAGCAAAAAGCAGCCATAAATATATGGTCACTAAGTATTAACGACAACAAATAGTATTATTCAGCCCACAAATGGAGAGGGCTGGGGCTGAGGTCCTTTTTTGTCCTACAAAATTAGGAATTGTGGGTACTCTGCATAGAAGAAGCAGAAATGCCGATACCCTCCGAGGCTGAGCTCACAGACTAAAAGTCAGGCTAAGAAGAAAACAATAAATTCATATGCCACCAACCTCCTCAGAAGAGAGAAAACTGCATCAAAGCAACAGCCTTTCACTTTCAGCCCCCAAGAGCTGAAATGAGCAGGCACAGAGATGGTAAGCTGTTCCCATCCTGCCACTGGCAGCAGGATATGCATTATTCAGGAACGACAGAAATTGTGTGAGTTAGCAGTGTAGCTGAACAAATTAGAAGTGATAGTATAACTGGTGGATCAGTTTGTATAGCTGGAGCTCTGAGACAGAAATGCAGATTATGGCAGGTTAATGGGTACTGTGACATTCCCTATACATGTAAATAAACACTGCATTTGAGAACCTCTGTTTTCCCCAAGCACTAGTAAATAAAAGTATAACAGAGACCTCATGTAAAGTAACCATATGCTTATAATTATACAAACATTGTAGATCCCCTGTGTGAAATTTCACATCGTTATTGCTTCTATTTTAATGTTTACAAAGTTCGCAGTAATTTTTCAAAACCAAATCTGTCCTAAACAGGAAGGACAATTTCCTACATCATTTTAATTTTCTACTCCAGAGCAAATGAAAGCAGAACCGCTCGTGCAAACCCCTTCCCTTCTCCTGCTCTACATGCTGCACTTCGTTTCCCCGATGTCAGGATGTGTTTTGATATACCAAGAATGCAGGAGTGGCTTCACTCTTCATGCCCATATATTAAGTTTTTAACTGTGAGTGAGAGACAATATGGTTCTAATCTAAGACAGTGACAAAAATGCAGAGAGCTTGTAGAAAAGCAACATCGTCACTGGTTCGTGGCAAAATGAAACACTGTAAAAAGCAGCAGCGGTGCATAGGGTTAGCCCTGCTACTTCTCCTGACTTTTCTTGTGAGAAGACCAACTGCCAAAAGCAGGAGCAAAAGGAAGAGAAATGGGAAAGCCTGTCCCCATGCTGTAGGGCTGCACAAGCCTCAGCCAAGCTGGAGTGAGGGGGACTCGCCTGGAAGAGCCCCCCCCCTCCCGGACATGGGGCATGGGGAGAGGCACAGATCCCTTGCAGGACACTCGGAAAGCAAAATAGAACTTTCCTTGGAGGACCACAATGTGGGAGCTGGTTCAGATTCTCCTCAAACAACCCTATTTATTTGAGTATGCTTCTTCACCTCCTGTTAGTTCACATACCATAGTTTTGACAGTTAAAATTCTTTGTCTTCTTAGGCATTTGAGGTTTCTGTTAACAGTTTGGAGAGTGGGCAGGATGAAACACATATGCTGAGAAATGATGGTTTTCTCTATTAAGCACAAAAAGATCCGTATTTGGCCAATGTGATGGTCCAGGATGCAGACAGCAAAGAAGGGAACTTGGTGCTTTGTCCCCGAGGATGCTCTCAGCTGAGAGCAGGGCAAGCCAGCTGGGAAGGAGGCAGGGAGAGGAGCTAGAACATTACTCAGAAGGGAAGTTCATCTGGGGAAAGGGAAGCAGCTCCTGTGTCAAAAACTATCTTCTGAAAACAAATATTCCTGCTCGTATGGAGCACCAAACCCCAACCTTTTCAGAAGTAATTCAGCAAGGAAGCAGAGGTGTTAAATCACTGAAGCTAAAAGTGATCAGAGTTTAATGCCTCAGATTTGGGGCCGTTGAAAAACAAGACACATTTTCAAATCTAAGGGTTGTGGAGGCTGGTGTTCTGCTGGAACCCAGCATATATGGAATGCATGGGCATCTCAGAAAATGTTGTGCTAACTGCTCTGCCAATAGGATTTCCTACCCCCTAATTACATGGTGTGACCACAGCCTTTTTGGAGCTTTTTGTGGTAAAAGGGGAAGAAGCTCATATTTTGAGTGGGTACATTTTTTACTCAACTTAATAAAGAATGATTTTGTTTCACAGAAATAAAAACCCTACAATTGATCACTCATGTTGAAAAGAGCCTCAACATAGCTGTAAAAATATTAAAGATATTAAGGATTGTCTACAAACTGGTCAGCTCTTTAATAACACCACTTATGCACAACAGTAAGTGTTCCAAAAGGCCACAAACTAGAGGTGAAATGAGTGATGCTTAAGCTTGGCTTGACCACTTGTGCAGGGATGAATTTTAACCTCTGACACTAGTCCTCAAGATTGCTGCTCATTTTATGGTTATCCCATTAAATTTCTGAGGTAAGAGAGGGGGAAATACATTTGATTTGGGCTTTCAAACTTGCCTCTGATGATTTTTCTTTTTCCCAGAATAAAAATTAACAGAAAGGAAAAAATTCATAGGATGTGAAAACCGTGTGTGCTAGCGCAAGAAAACAAATTAAACTGGTTTTAAAACTGCAGTTTTTCAGCCTCCAAATTGCTTTAGTTTGGAGAAACACATTTGAAATTAAAAAAAAAAGTTACAAAATATTCATAATGCAATTCTGACCGCAGATCTGGCCAACTTTTATTGTTAAGAAAACCAGAAAGGAAATTATTTTAAAATATGCTATTCTTCTTTTCTGGTGGCGGCTATTATTTTACTCTACTTATTGTTGCTGCCATTATTACGCTCTTTGCTGAGCCCTGAAGTCAGGATCCCAAATGTTTCACAGACACTGATTCATTGTCCTGCTGCCTAGCGAGGTGCCTGCTCCTGCCTGTGGTTCCCAGGTCTGCTTCCACACAGTTTTCCCAATGCCCCTCAAGACCAAAACTTCTGAAGATGGTTTGATGTATTCAAGTCCCTTGCAGTGATCTGACTGTGTAGCTGCATAAGACACCATGACTGCTACATCTTCTCAGTTCCCTACACTTCATCGTTCCCTTAAGTGATGAACCTGGCAATTATCTGTATTGAACAATGGCATTGTCTTCCGAAATGACAAAGGACACCCTGAGCAATGGGGCCTAACACAGGAACAGTCAGGAGAGCAGCATTGCCTATTTTATGGCTGTTGCTGCTAGCTGTGTAAGCTATCATCTGGTGCGCATCACTGTTTAGGGGTGATAACAACGGGGTATGTGCTTCCCTCTGTGCTGCCTGAAAGGTCACTGGAGCCAGGGGAAAGCCCTGTTGACTGCAGAAGGCTTCAAGTCAGGCTCCCAGTAAAGAATCAAGAGTGGAAAGCAGCCATGTGAGTCAATTTCAGAGAATGAGTTAAAATGTGCAAAAGCAGCAGGTAGAAATGAAATCGGGCTGATGGAAGTTGCTCTTGAGACCACTCGACCCTTGCAGCTTTGCATTAGTATGAAGCCACCTTCCCTTGGGAGAGGAGGAGGCCAAGGGAGGAAAAAGCTGAGAACAAAGAGGGAAGAGGAGAGACAGACTGAGAGACAAAGGCAGGAAGGGAACAGACACTCTGGGAGCAGTGGGGGGACCCTGGAAATCAGCAGGGTGGGAGTGGGAAAGGGCAGCCGTGCAGCAGCAGCACTGGAGACCACAAGGAGGGGATGTGGCAAGTGAAAACAATATCAGAAAAGGAAAATAGGACAATGAAATGCAGCAGGGGAGAAAAGAAAGAGCCTGGGGGACTAAGGTTGGCGGAGAAGTTGGCAGAGAAGAAACTGGAGCTGGGCAGCTGATTAGAGATAGCAAGCAGGAGCATGGAATAAGTGAAGAGGGCACAAAAGGGGAAGAAGGAAACAAAAAAAAAGTGATGGTAAAGCTCCAGAAGGAACTGGGTCATGGCAAGAAAAAAATAGCCAAAATGCTAAGTACAGAGCAGAAAGGATGGGAGTGGCAAAGGGGAGCAGAAGTAACAAAGGTGAGGCATCAGAAAAGTGAAACCGAAGGGACAGAAGGCGGGGGAAGGTCCCAGAGCGAAAAGCAGCTGATGAAAAGGGAGAGGAATGGTCAGGAGGGCAGCTGTGAAGCCCGGGGACAATAAATAAAAGGGGGTGAAAAACCAGTATGGAACAAAGTGGGAATGGTTTTGCAGAACACTTGCCTCATTTCTGCACTGTCACTGATACTCTTTTGGAGCCCTGATTCTTCACAGTTCATCTGCCAGCATGTCACAGCACATCTATCCTGCTAAAAAGAAACTAAGGCAATGTTAGGCCTCTTCTCTAATCCAAGCTATACCATGTGTCCCACATCCATGTGGTCACATCCAAATGGCTGTCTAGGGACAGCCCCTGGCACAAGCCATAACTTGTAACAGGCCTGGGCACTGTTTGGGAAAGTGCTAGCTGATGTGGGCCAAAACCACAACAGAGCCATATGTGGAGGGTTGTGGGGAAGCGCCTTACAGTAATCTCCTTCAGCAGTGGCAATGCAGCCTTGGTCACTTGGAACCTGAGTCCCTCACTTACTTTGAACGTGCTCCTCATCTCCCCAAGCATCTTTTCCCAGGAGCTGGGGAGCAGGGTGGGACTGAGCTCCCAATAAGAAAACTGGGACCTACCAGGCTAGATGCTGGCTGCATATGCCCTAGCTGTGTCTGCCTCACCGACTGATGTCTGTGTTGCACCGGGAGTTGTGCCAAAAGCCCAGGTATAAGTTGTCCTCTCTTGGTGGAAGATGAGAACGGGAAAGAAAAAGACAAAGTCCAGTGACTGCATGATCATGACATGAAGAACAGCTGTTGATAGAGGAGATGTCAAATTCAACATGGACTGAAAGCCAGATGCCCATTATTTGCTATAGACTGAGCTTTCACTGCACAGCCCTCAGGCTGTAGCATCTCTTGGTGGAATGAGAGGAAAATCCACCAGTGGAAAGGTAGGAAGATGTGGAGAATGGGACATCAGGAGAGGAGAGGAGAGGAGGGAAACAGCACAGAGCAGAAGAAAGCAAGTGGAGAAGGAGGATGAGGAGGTCTGGAAGAAGCAAGGAGGGAGCAGGACAGGCAGGGTAACGCAAGCTTCTTACCATGCTTTGCCCATGACTGTGAACCCTAGATAGGTGGTTGGATGAAACCGTTTGGAGATATGACACCAGTCTTACATGAGAGGATGCACCTCTGAAAAGCCAAACGAAAAGGGGTGGGTGAATCCTGCTTCTGCTCCACTGCTGTCTTCTGCATGACCAATGCAAGAAAGATATTGTGCCCCACTCTAAGGAACTTTTCTGCCTGCCCCATTCTGCTTAGCTTGCCAGCACTGTCTTCCCAGTGCTGCATTTTCCCAGACCCCAGCCTGGAATGCGCTCCTCTCAGACTGGTCCCCTCTTGGTGGCTTTGCAGATTTTGAGAGAATGAGAATGGTCTCTGCCTCCGTCCCAAGGCTGCCCACTAACTGGGCCCTAGTGCATTCCAAGGTGAGATCCCCGCTTTCCACCAGATTCTCCTTCTTGCAAGACCCGTGCTTTGTGGCAAGTTCTTGCTCACATAGCTGGGAGAACACGAAGGATCTCAAGCAAGACCGTTAGCATTGCGTGAGTCTGCCCTCACCCGACACTGCAGCACCCAAGGGACACCTGAACATGCCAAAGCATCGGCCAGTTGACGAGGATTGGTATCCGACGGGCTGCAGCAAGACACGCAGCATCTCCCCCCAGCCCTCATGTCCACTTCCCACGCGGAGTACACATAGAGGACGGAGTAAAGGGACCCCCGAGCACCCGTCAGCGGGGTGTCCCGCCCCGCGGGGCGGGCTGGGTGCCCCCACGGGGCGGTCCGCGGCGGGGCGGTACCCACGGGGCGGGGCGGGCTGCTCCGGGCCGAGCCCGCCCGGGTGCAGTCCCCGCTCCGCGCCGCGCCGCCGCGCAGTCCCCGCGCTGCTCCGTGGGCCGCCGGAGCCGCACGTCGGGCCGCCCTCCTCTTCCTCCCCACCGCCGCCGCCTCTCGCTATGAATGCACGCCGGGCCCTGCTCTCCGCCGCCTTGCTCGCCAGCCTCCTCTGGGATTTACCTTGCTGCCTCCCGGCTTCCCTCCCCACCGCCTCGGAGATCGCCGCCTCTTCCAAAGGCGGACGGGGCCGCAGGGTGCCGCGGTCCCCACGGGAGAACCGCCCGCGGCAAGGCGGACACGCCGTGGGCCGGGCGTTCCCACGGGCGGAACCCCACGAGTACATGCTATCTCTGTTCAGGACTTACTCCATCGCAGAGAAACTGGGCATCAACGCCAGCTTTTTTCAGTCGTCCAAATCCGCCAACACCATCACTAGTTTTGTAGACAAGGGACTAGGTAAGTTCTGTCCCTTATCCTCCCTCATGCCCCTCACCGTCCCTCCGGGGCTACGTGCGCCCCTTCCCGCAGCGTTCTGCAGTGCGAGGCTCCCGTCCCGCGGAGTCTGGCCCTGGGGAGGTGGGGAACGTGCTGCACTGGTCACTGGTGTTTCCTGCCTCCTCGGTATCGCAGAAAAGTGGATCTTTCGGTAGATCACAGAATCGCGTTGTTTTAGTTGAGGGCGAACCCGCGGTGCGGGTGCAGCGCAGCGAACTGTCCCGCAGCGCTACACCCGCGCCGCGGCAGCCGTAAATGCTGCATACGAGAAACACGCGTGTTCCTCGCGGAGTCGTCACAGGATGGTGGGAAACTCTCCCCAGCTTTGCAGGCGCGTTTTGAGTGCAAATGCAACTTCGGGAGAGAAAAGAAAAATCGCTCTTCTGGTTTCTTTGAGTATGTCGGAGAAAGGATCGCTCTTATCGCTGCGGTTGTAAGGCAAATAGAAAGTTCAAACTGACCGAGGGCAAACATTTGCTGCCTAAAGCTGCTCTCGCCTAGGGTCGCTTTATCGGATTTACCTGGAAGAGCACCAGCCCCGTTGGGAAGCACTAGGGCTGGGACGTAGCCCGCTCCGCTTGCGGGGAGGCAGCCCGAAGTCCAGGTAAACGTCGCCCCCGGGCTCCTCTGGGCGGCCCGGACCCGCTGTCTGCTTGGGGGCTGCATCCTGCGTCCGCTGAGCAGGGGGAGGCTGGTCCGCAGCAGTCCTGTCCAGGACCGGCAGTGGGGCCGCTCCCCCGGGCCCGCCGAGGGGGGCAGAGGACGGGGTGGGCGGCAGAGCCCGGTTCAGGCCAGGCTCCAGGCCTTGTCCCCACTCTCGCGGGACAGCACCGGTACCGCGGGCTCCCGGGACTCCCTCGGCGACCTGCAGCCCCTGTCGGGGTCCTGCTTTGTTTTTCTCTCTTTGTTTTATCGCTAGTACCGGGGCGGCGGGTGAAGGTTTCTCGGCGATCCGGAGGAACATTTCCCTTCCTCTTTTTTTCTCATTTCTTTTTCACTACCCTGGTTTGTGAGTCATTAAGGACAGACTAATTAACAGGTTCCCAACGCGTGCTATGCATTCTTTCCTTCTCCCCCTCTCCCATATCTGAAGACCCACCCCTCCGCCCGCCCCCAGCGAGACCCTGCCCGTGTACCTGCCGGCGGCTGGCAGCGGCTTCCCCCCGGGACCCAGAGAGTTGAGCACACCGACCTCCCCTCTTCCAGCAGTTTTAGGGCAAAACGCAGCTCCGGGAAAACCGCACGGCTCCCCTTAACTCCAGGAGCCGCTTGCTACCCTAACCGAACCCCAACCACCCCCCCCTGCCTTCCCCCCCCCCCCCCCCATCCGGAGCTTTCCCTCTCCTCCTCGGACCCACGGCCCCATGGCCATCCCCGGCTCGGGGCCGTTCCTCGCCGCGGAGGGATCGCGGCTGGGCTCTCTCTCCCCCTACCCACCCCCGGTGCCCGTCGCACCCGTCGGGGCTCGGGAGGATGCGTGGAAGCGCCCACAGTGGGTGCTCGCTGTCGGGAGCGCCCCTGGAGGAAAGGGGGACGGGGATTCGCTTTCCGCTGTCGCCGTGTGGAGGTTGTTGTTTTTCGTTGCTGTTAAACGAAGGGGTGGGGGAAGAGGTCTCGATTTCTAGAAACAGGGTTTGCAAAGCTCAGTGGTCAGAAGGAGCTGGCCCGCGTTCTCCGCCGGAAAGGAAAAGGGGTGCTAATTCTGAAATCCGCGGGGAACTAGAGCCGCGCTCAAGATCATCTTATTCTTGATAACGAGAAGAAAGACAGTTAATTTAACAAATTTAGCTCATCTCGCTGCATGGGAGATTCTACTCCGGGGGAAGTGATTTGCTAACAGAAGTCCTGGTTTGATTAAGGAAAAGCCTCACTTTTCCCCATTGATTTTGATTTGATGTGTCACAGACTGTGACCTTCTGCTGGACCTTCTGAGGGTTGCTTAGCATCGAGCCACTGATTGGAGTATTTCAACTCAGTGATCTAATTGAGTGTTCATGTCATAACATATCAAATATTGTCTAGTCTCCCATAATGAAGCGGACCAGCCAATGGCACATCACCAAAAAACTTCAAGAGAGCTTCCGTTCCTCTGAAGTGGTAGCTATTTTACTGCCCACCTCCCCGTGGGCTCCTAGCCCAGTTAATTGGCGAGCTGGAGTTGTGCTGATGATGAACAGCCTTTGCTCAGGGAAAGCGGGAAAAGGGAGGGGGAGTTTCTGTCAATTAATTTGCAGACAATATAGCCGACCAAATTAACCCAATTAGATGGGCTGCTCTTTACCTAAGCGGCAGGACCGGGGGAGGCGGCGGTGGACGTCCCTCCTGCCCTGCCCAGCCCACACGGCATCCTTCAGAGCAGGATTTGGGGGGGGACAGCAGCTCCGAGAGAAGCACGGAGCAGCTTTTACTCCTGCCTGACGAGAAATACCTTTCCCGCACGGCATGGGCTGCCGTACCTGCGTGTCCGTGGGAGCATCCCACGGGATAGGTAACGCGGCGTCGGCTCCTGTCCGTGACGGCCCCAGGACAGTCTGGCCCAGTGCCCTCGGTGGCGGAGGGTGCGGGCACCAGCCCCGGCCAGGCACCACTCCTCCCCGCCGCTCCTTGCTTTCCTTCCCGCTTGGAGCTAGGAAGATCACTTTCAGGGCAGCTCGAGAGAGAGTACTCACTACCTCACTACCGCGTTATACATACACACACACACGCACATATGTATATATATATATATTTTCCTACACCCCCCATGGGTAGAAAAAGGGCGCAGAAAGGGGAGAAGGATTTGCGATTCCCACTTCTACACCCCCTCCCGCCCCCCACTCGCTTCCCCTTGTTACGGTCGCAAGATCAGACAGGACCTAGCTGAATGTAGGAAAATTACTGTTGGCACATGAAGTAACTCATTAAAACGCAGATGGTGCTCTCGCTGGCCTCAGGACCCCCAGCATTGGAGCTCCACAGTAAGGCAGGACAATTAGGAGCTGCAAGGACTCCACCAGGCGGGGGGGAGAAAACAGAGTAAGAGAATGGACCTATAAACAAGCAAATCCACAGCTAGCAAGAAACACGGCACGGCTCGGGACAAACCAAAAACAAAAAAAAAAAGAAATAGCCGGGGTGCGAGGAGAGCGATTTTCAAAAGGATCTCCCGTGGGAAGCAGATGCCTCAAGGGCCTTTGCCCTCTGCATCTGCGGAGCTGCCCGCAGCCGCGGTAGCGCACCAAGCTCATGTGTGCGGACCTTTGAGCTCCGCACCCAAGGGATGAGGAATTCGAAATGGGTCTAGACCGTCTCCTTCTTCCATCCCCGTTTTCTTTGTGCCGTTTCGTGTTCCAGTCGAGAGGCAGCTGGTTCAGACGGGCAGGGGTCCGGCCATTATTTCTCTCTTGCCATTAGGGTCGGGAGGGGGTGAGGACGGGAGGGCAGGACGAAAGGGGGATCCCGTGTGCAGAAGCTGGAGGCTGCCCGGCTGTGCATGTGTCAGAAGCAAAGAGAGTAAATCCCAGTTGAAGTTCATCTACTGCAACATGTTTATGCAAAACAGCGGGTTTCTGGGTGGACCGAAAGCTGCAATGCAGCGTAATCTGCGCAGCGCCTTTGCCCAGGCAGTGTTGTCGTTGGCAGAAGGAAAATGAAATATAAGCAAGGAAGTATTTTAATGGGGAAGGAGGGAATTCACAACTGTTAATTATTTGGTGACCTTGTATTCGATTTGTTTGAGCCTCTTATAAAAACACTAATGCAGACCAGACGGCCGGAGCGCGGCAGCGAGCAGCCGCTTCTCATCCCCGCCAGGCGCCCGGGGGAAGACCTAGTGGCCCGGCCCGGCCCGGCCCGGCCCAGCGGAGCTTCCGCGCCCGCGGAACCGGCAGCGCGGGGCAGGCGGCGAGGAGAGCGGGCTGCGGCTCCGTGCTGCTGCGCCGGGGGGGATCTTGAGGGTCTTTGGGGTTTCATTCCCCGCGACGCGGGAGGGAGCGGAGAAGCGCGGGAGGAACGGGAGCCGCGGCCCCTCGTCTCTCCCCGTTCAGTACCGGGGTTTTCGGGAGGGGGTGGGGTGTGGTTATTATTTTGTTTGGGTTCTTTTGTGCGGGGGTTGCACAGTGGGGAGAGCGGTCGGGGACAGGCAGAGCGCTGGAGGACGCAGGCCGCGGAGCTCGGCGGGCTGTGCGCTGCCGCGGAGCCGCTCTGCTAACGAAAAGGAGTCACTAAAGCCTCTCAAGCCATTGCGGTGGCTCTTTTGGGACCCGATCCTGATTTTTTAATTTGACTTTTTAAATCCAGGAGCCCCTCTGCGGGGCTTGCTGAAAGATCGTGTTTAATTTTTTATTACCAGTATTTAATTTTGGATTTGGTTGGTTGGTTTTGAGGACAGTAGGACCAAGCTTTCCCCTTCGCAGTTGTTAAGCTTCAGCCGCCCGCGGGGCGATGCTGTGCCGCAGCCTGTGCTGATCCCGACCGGGAGCCGAGCAGCCGCCCTGAGCCAGCCCGGCCCTGGACTTTCACTCGCCAGACTTGTTCTCCTCCTTGCTTTGTAGTCTTATAAAAAAGAAAAGCAGCTAATCACAGAAATGCTCCTTTCCTTGAGATTTCGGTTCAGGCTGGAACTGAGGTTGAGCGTCCTTCCGTGCACGAAGTCTGGTTTATGAGCGAAAGGGGACGTTTAAGTCCTTGCTAGTTGTGGCTAGATCTGCGTGTTGTGTGCTGTATTCCACACACGTCGCTCAGAAATATCCTCCAAAGAGTCCCCTCACTCCATTTCTTAGCTCTGAGGAGTGGGAATATTCAGTCCGATTTTCTCAATAAGAACAATTTTGGAGGAATGATTTCTCCTCGATAGAAATATTTCGGGTAGTGAAACCGCCGCAAACGGGGAAAGAGAAGAGGACTCGGTTAGTAGCTGTTAAAGCAGGTAAAATCTCTCTGGGGAAGCCCCTCTCCGCCTCGGCGTGTCTCCCAAAGGGATGAGGACAGATGAGGGGCCCGGAACCCCGCGGGATGCCCGCGGGTGTTGCCACGGTTCCTCTGCACCCGAGGGCCGAGCGTCGCTTGCGGGTACCGGGGAAGCAGCGGGAAGAAGCAGCCGTCGGAGGCAGCGGGAGCTGGGCAAGGGCAGGCAGCCTTCCGCGCAGGGACGGGGAAGCGGTGATCAAAGGTATATCGCAGCCAGGTGCCTCCCCGCTCCGTCGGGAAAAGAATTTAAAGCAAAAGAAAATAATGATGGAGCCCTCCAGCAGCCCGCTGGGGTTTTGTCAGGGTTGGGAAGGCGTCCGAGGAAGGTGTGGTCTTTCCCGGTTACTCGATAGGGAGGAGAACGAAACGTTTACATCTAATCACTCTGTGTAATAAAAAACCGCGACGAGGCAGGCGCTGGGAGATGCGGAACTGAAACCCAGAGAAATACCACACATGGAGAGTCTGTCCCCCGATTCCACAGCACGGGTAATGCTCCGAAAGAGATACCTGTCAACCCTGTGACTCTGCAGACAACGTGTGGGAAGCCCCTCTCAATTAGCGGGGATATATGTTTTAATTTCCAGATTATTGTTGAGCGAGCGCCTGCGAAGGGTCTTTAAACTGAAAATGTGCTTTTGGTTTGCGAGTTTAAATATGGCTTGAAAAAGAATTTGGGAATGGGAAAATTCTTCTTCAATGTGGTTTGGGTATAATTTGCAGTGATGTAAAGTTAAGATCTGAGCCCTGATGAATTGGCAGGGAGCCCAGTACCTGATCTGCCATGAAAAGGGAAACTGTATAGCCTTCGTTAACCCCCCGCTCGCCTCAAAGCCCCGGCTGCCAGCGAGAAACGAAGCCCGGGCAGAGGGAGAGGCTTTGCACAGGAAAACGTACCAGCCAAGCCACTCATTTACCGTGAGATGATGAACCCGCCGCCACCGCGCAGCGGAGGGAAGCGGGGGGGAGAAGGCGAGAGGCGGAGGAAAGGGGAGCCTCGGCTCGGCTTGGTCCGGCTCTGCTCGCGTTGCGCAGGTCTCGCTGGCTGCCCGGAAGCTTTTGGAAGGGCAGAGCGGAGCAGGGCTGCCCTCGTCATCCACCGCTGACACACGTTGAAACTCCAGATAGATATACCCCCTTCTTCTCCCGCTCCGTCCAACTCCCAGTGTTTTATCTTCTCCCGAAAAAAATAAACGGAGAGTCGAAATAAAACTAATGCTTACAGCATAACTAACATTCATCTAAATTAACGTTACAAATATAAACACACCTCTCTGGTGCATTTCCCGCAATGTGCCTTTCTTCAGCCAGGCTGGATGTAACATGACTTTGCTGCTCTCTCCGAGTATTTCGGTAACGGGAATAACGGTAATGACAGCCTCAACTGGCCCGAGAGAAAGGCAGATCTCGAACTGGCTGTGAGAAGCCCCGGGTTTCACCCCAGCCGCTCCTTGGATCTAAAGCAAAACTGAAGTGAACAAGCCCCCATGCATGTGTGCTCGTCTCACGCAGAGGAGGGAACAGTCCGGGTATCCCCCACCCTACCGCCGCTGTCGTTCTTTGTATGCGTGGAGAGAGGCAGCTTGGCTGGAACAAAGGGTTCCCAAACCAGACCGAGCTTTCTCCGGCTTGCGGAGCTCCGGAGGTACCGTTTTCCCTCCCCGCCCTCCACTGCTTTTCCCACCCTCTCGACGGCGCTGGGAGCTAGCCAGTACTGGTTTAGGATTATGTATTCATCTGGAATTATTAAGTTACGAGAGTGAATAAATAGCTTTTATCTGATCGGATTCAAAGCTTCTTATTTGAAACAACCGGCAGCCCTGCCCCTTTTTCGGAGAGAGGAGCGGGAGCCGGCAGCTGCAGAGGGAATTTTCCAGCGCAGAGTCGTGCTGCCTGAACCCAGCCTGGGGACCCGCTTGCCCGGGGTCACACTTCTCTGCCATTCTGCTGTGTCCCCAGCGTGCCATGCCACCGAGCCAGCCGGAGTCGTCGTGCGACTCTTTCAACCTTCGCCAAGCTGGAGATTCGTAGGATGCTGTTGGGGAGCGCGTTGTAGGCGTACCCGCTGAGCAAGCCCTTGGCACCCGCAGGACCGGAGCTGGTTCTTTCCGTCCCCCCTCTCCCAGCCTTCCTTTCCGACGCATGACAGGGGTCTGCAGACCTTTTATAAACCGCTTCAGCAGCGGGACCCAGGGGAGTTCAGCGTCTCCCCGCCTCCCTCCCTTCTAACCCGCACGCCGAGATGTCACCCCTGAAGGGGCCGCCTCACAGCCACCGGCCTGGGGAGCTCGCTGCTACCTCTGTGTCCCCCTATCCCCCGGGAAAGGTCTGTCCTTTTTTTTTTCCCCGAAAGTGACCCTGCCCCTGCACCCTGGCAGGAATTCGGGGTCCCCACGGTCGGGGCACAGGCTGGGAGTAGGACGGGGAGGAGAGGAGGAGTGGTGTCTGCCCCGGAGGGACAGTAGGCTGGAGGCAGCGCTACCCCACCTCCACCGCATCACGACAGAGAGAAGCAAAGCGGGCGAGCATCTTTATTTGAAACCAAGTCTGACGCCCCCCATCTCTCTCCAGAAAAGAGATGGTTTAAAAGTGGAGCTGCGCCCAGGCCCGTCTCTGCCCACATCCCAAAGCAAGGCATAGGCGCTGATCTGGTTTCTTCGACGGTCGCTGGAGCCGTTGGAGGAAGGCGGGATACAGATCGCGGATCCAGGAGACCCGTCTGCACCATGTCAGATACCCGGGCATCTGACAGACGCTGGGCACAGGGAAAACCAAAGGCGAGGAGAAGGAAGAAGGGGACCCGAACGTTCTTGCCCGAGGGATGCATATCTCTTCTTTCTGAATCCCCCAGTTCTGCCCGGGACTCCCTCGAAGAAGGAGGCAATGGCTCCAGAGCTCTCCTGAGCTCCCGGATCCACCTCTCTCGCAACCCAGCCCCCGGGCCTACTGGCCCAAGCATGTGCAAGGGGGAATCACCCTCAAATCCACAACCGACCCATGGGCCAAGCCCTGCTTCATCCTTGCAGCACCGCCGAGATCGTCCAGCTCTTTTGGGCAGCTCTCGCTGGATTTCACTTTTCTTTCCAGCAGCTCGATAGAGCAGCTGCTGTCGTCACCTGCGGCTGTGACATTTTTCGGGTTGTGTGTATGTTTCTTACAGACTCCCTCCGCGCCCCGCGGGAGATATGAGCGGCCGGCGGGCTGCCTCCCGCTCCCGGCTCTGCGCTTCTCGCCGGGGAAGGAAATCGCCCATCCAGAGGCGGGAGGCGGAGGCCGGGATGCGGCAGGCCCGGGATGCCTGGAGCGTCTGACCCATTTTCAGGACCTGGTGGCTGAGGGGGGTGCTCCGGCCCCTCCGGAAGGGTCCGGCTCCTGCCAGTCTTCCGAAACGACCCTCTGGGGAGAGGTGGGGACCGAGGTCGTGCTCCGGCCTCCTCGCCCCGAGGACAGGGCAAGGGGCCCGATGGGCACCTAGCTCTGCAGCCGGGGGTGCCCGGTGTGGCAGGGTCCGGGGTAGCTGCGCGGGCAGGGGGTTGCTCTTGGCCGGCGGACGGGCTCTCCCTTGGGTCCTGTGGCCTGGCTGCAGGGCAGGTCTTTTGCCCAGCAATTCCCCCTGGCACTGCTGCACTCCACTCTGCATCTCCCTCTTGGTGTGTGGGGGAACGAGCGGACTTTCGAGCATGCTATTCTGCTCTGAAGCACATTAATTTTTACATTGCCGTGGCGCATCTGAAGGTCTTGGTTTGCATAAATCGTCCCCCTGTTCCTCCTGCCCCGCAGGAGGTTCCTCCAGATATGTCAGGTAGAACAGAAGTTGTGCAATACAGTGATTAAAATCTCAATGACCTTTGATATCAATACAATAAATAACAGAGGGCTTTAGTCTCCGTTTCTACCCCTGGAGCGGGCTGAGCTTGGAAAAGCGGCCATGGGCTGCTGAACAGAGGCTCCACTGACACTTTTACTATTGAGATCTACACAAGCTTTACTAGCTTCTGGGGAAACCCAGGGGCTTTGGGAATTCTTGTATTTGCTGGGTTGTAAACATTTTATGGGAAAGCAGCTCAGGGGAATCTGGTTTGCTTTCTGCTCTGCACCGCGCACACCAATGTGTCAAAAAAGAAGTCCAGGTTTTTCTCTTGGACGAGAATATATATGTGTATATATATGTGTGTGCGTAATGTACACAAGCACACAAACACTGACGGTCCCACACTGGTGGCAGGGCTGATGGGCAGAAGATGTGCGTGGAGCAGGGGCTGCTTCTGGTGTGGGTGAATGGTCTTATATTTGGTGCGGGTCCTTCCATACCTCCTCTCTCTTCCATCTTCTTCCTTCTTCTTCATTCTTCCTCTTCTCATTTTTCTCCTCCCTTTTTTTCCTTCCTTCTTGTTCTCAGTGTTCTTGTTCTCCTTCCTTCTTCCACTTTCTTCTTCTCATTTTTATTTTCTCTTGATTCTTCCATCTCATTCTTTTCTCTGAATTCCTCCTTCTCCTCCTTCTTTCTCCTTTTCCCCTCCCTCCCCCACGACCAGCTCAGCCCTGGCTCCCAGTGGAGGCCCGGGTACCAGACCGGAGCGGGCCCGGCGGGTGGCCAGAGGGCTGGCGGGCAGGAGCTGCCCTCGGAGACCTCTCGGCAGATCCCCCCTGAGCGCAACTGACTGTAATTATTTTTTATCTCGCAGACGATCTCTCGCCCGCTCCCTTGAGGCGGCAGCAGTATGTGTTTGATGTATCGACCCTCTCGGAGACGGAGGAGCTGGTGGGGGCCGAGGTGCGGCTCTTCCGCCGGGCGTCCCGCGCCCGCCCGCCGCCCGCCGCCCCGGTACATATGCAGCTCTTCCCCTGCCTGTCGCCACGGCCTCTGGACTCTCGAGCCCTGGACCCGCGGGCGGCCCCGGCCGCCGACTGGGAGGTCTTCGACGTGCGGCAGGGCCTGCGGGAGCAGCGGCCGTCGAAGCGGCTGTGCCTGGAGCTGCGGGCCTCGGCGGGCCGCGGGCCACCGCGCTGGCTGGACCTGCGGGGCCTGGGATTCGGGCGCCGGCCGCGACCGCCGCAGGAGCGGGCGCTGCTGGTGGTCTTCACCCGCGCCCGGCGGCGGAGCCTGCTCGGGGAGCTGCGCGCCGAGCTGGGCTCGCCGCCGCCGCCTGCTGTCCGCCGGCCGCCGCCCCGGCGCCAGCGGCGCACCGCCTTCGCCAGCCGGCACGGGAAGCGGCACGGCAAGAAGTCCCGCCTGCGCTGCAGCAAGAAGCCACTGCACGTCAACTTCAAGGAGCTGGGCTGGGACGACTGGATTATCGCCCCGCTGGAGTACGAGGCCCACCACTGCGAGGGGGTCTGCGACTTCCCACTGCGCTCCCACCTGGAGCCCACGAACCACGCCATCATTCAGACCCTCATGAACTCCATGGACCCCAGCTCCACGCCGCCCAGCTGCTGCGTCCCCACTAAATTGACTCCCATCAGCATCCTCTACATCGACGCGGGCAACAACGTGGTGTACAAGCAGTACGAGGACATGGTGGTGGAGTCCTGCGGCTGCAGGTAGCGGGCGGGACACCCCTCGGGGCTGCATCTGGCGGAGAAGCGCCGGCGGTGGCGAGCGGGGACGGCCCGCGCCCGCCCGGAGCGGGCTCGGCGCGTAGGGGAAGGTCGGGCGCCGGTTCCCGCGGGTGGCGGGCGTCGGGCAGCGCCTGCCCTTGACTACCGTGCGGGGAAGGGAGAGAGGGCAGGGCAGGCGGCCAGGCCCCGCCGGGTCCCTTCCCCTCTTTCCCCCGCTCTTTCCCCCTCTCTCCCTCCCTCCTTCCCTCTCCCGGGGTTTATCTGGCGATCTGTCCTCTTCCCTCCAAAGGTGAAGGCAATTTAACAAGTACAAAAAGAGTCGGGGGAGGGAGAGGGAGCAGACCGAGCCCTCTCTCTGAAGTTGCTCTGAAGAGGGCTGCTTCATTTCTGCCCTCTTTCACATTCCTGCAAGCTTACCAGCCAGAAATAGCCTCCGGCCCCCACCCCCAAAGGAAAAAAAAAAAAGAGAAAAGTTAAAAAACAAAAAAAAGCTCAAGATTGTAATTACCAGTTAGGTTTTATTTTAAGACAGCAATGAAAAACTGTGAAGAGCGAAGTGTTACAGAAAGCACAACCTGGGTGAATGGAAAGGAAACTCCCTCGGATTTCAGGAACAGCGCAAGGATGCCATTGCCAGGTCTCTAAGTAGCTCTAGCTCGGCAGCCCTCGCAACCTGCAGCAGTATTATACGCGAATGGTGTGCTTGAAAGGCGTTCTAAGTAAGATTCCTGTTTCTTTCCCGCCTTTGGTCTCAGCTGCTGCTTCACCTGAGGAAAGTGCACTTCGAAGCACGCGTAGCCCTTTCTTAATGTAACTGTTATGTTCGTAGTTTCAGGCTTTTCCCCACTGATTTTTAGAGTCGTCTTATTTGGTTTTGCAGAGCTGGTGAAAAAAAAAAAAAAAGATTAAAAAAAGAGAAGAGAATAATAATATAAAATGCTAATAAAAAGACTCGACCAGGAGCAATAATTTAAAATGCACATTTTGCTTTGGATGCACTGTTGTTCATATAAAAGTTGTAAATATTTGTTTATTTAAACAGACTGAAAAGTGCAAAATGGAGATGAACAACATGCATTTTTTTTAATGTACAAAACATTATATGCACTCGAAATGTTATAATTTCTAATATTTTTAAAAGTTTATATTTGAGTTGTACAGAATTAAGCATTAATCAAATATTTCATCCTTACTTAACATTATAATTTCCTTAAGATATTATTACAAAATTTAAATTCTGTGCTAATAATGGAAAAAAGAACTTTTTTTTTTACTGTCTACCTCACTATAATGCAAGTATTTACAACTCTAAAGTTATCTGAGGTAAATTAATATTCAGAACATTTTTACAATACAACTTTACTGGACGGTACTACAACTATTACTGTATTATTAAACATTTCTTTTTCCAAAAAGTCAGCTTGCTTTTATATGTTTTATTATTTGGTTAAGTAATGCTGAGTTCTTAAGTAAACATTAGCTCCAGTTCTACAAATGCTGCAGAGTTGAGTTGGAGCAAGTGCCACTTTGAGATGTACCTGAAACCATTCCTCCTATCTGAAGACTTTTTGTACTCCCACAAGATCTTTAGTTTCGTCTTTGGTATATGCTGGTGGCTCAGAGCTGCATTATGTTTGTCTGCATTTCATGCAATGATTACTATAAATGGGAGAACGCATTAAGGGGAAAAATTCAGACAAACCTTTGTAAATCTCATCTGTACCGGGTACGTTTACATACACTGTATGATGTTGATGAGCAAAAGACAATGAATGTTTTATAAATGATATTTATTTTAATGCAATGGGTAATATATTTATTAAATATTTCTTGGCTATCTCTTAGATAATGAAGAACTATTAAATAAGTAGCTGTTTCAGTAAGAGAAGGATTCCCCTCTTCTCTCACAGCAATGCTTGTGGAGAAGGTGGTGTAGGCAGTGTGGGGGCTCTTGGAAAAGAAAGTGCCTCATCTTATATGCAGAAGGGCTGAAAGAGATGCTCACCTTGTGGAATGTGTTGAAAACAAGGTTCTTTTCATAGAAAGTGGAATTTTTTTAACCTTATCACAAGATCTGATCACATTTTTCCCTGGCCAGCTTTCACCCCCTTGGACTGCTGCTTGAACAAAGGATTGCAGAATCACACCCGAGTGTTTGAATAGCAGCAGCTGAGAGACCTGTAGAAGACTCCAGCTTTAGAGCTGGTACAATTGCCAGAGGAATATTTCTTTTTAATACTTAATAGTGTTTCAAGTTCATGACTAATAGAGTCAGAAACCACAGCTTTAAAAACAGCTTTAGTTTTAAAGCTGGGTTTACCGTTTGGAGTGGTGTGAACTTTGGTTGCTGCTCTGACCACACTGGTTCAGTCTTCTGCTATGGATGAAGCTCCCTCTCTCTTTACGAAGGAAAGCAGTGGGCAAATGATGCCCAACAGGCTGCAGTGTGCTCTCTGAGGAATGGTAATCAGGATCCATAAGACGCCATCCACTGGAAATGACCACTGAGTGAATCATCGTTTTAGTTTGCTGCCTGGTGAGCAAATGAATTATCACTTGTACAGACAATGCTTTGGCTAAAACCATGCACTGAGATTTTCAATGCAATTTCCTTTCCATGTAAAAACCAGTGTCCCTTCTATTGCAAGACTGTACATTGCACGCTTGGTAGCAAGCTGGTCTGTCACTGAGCCATCCGTTCTGCTCTGCCTCAGATGTGGCTTTGGGGAACGTCATCAAACAAAGTTCAACTGTGGGAGGCCTAAGAAATCTCTCCTGAAAGAAAGTCCTCAGAGAGGCAACAGAGAAGACATTGCTGTCTTGGATATACAGTACAGAGCAGTTTGTATCTTCTCCTGCATTAGCTGATTTTTTGGTGACCTCTTTAATGGCCAGAAAAGGTTTGAAAGCAGTTTGTCCCAAATGTCTGATCTGTACTTGTTAACTTTTTAAGGGCAGTGAGAGAGCTGAAGAAAGGCAAAAATAGTCAGCATCTGCATTACCTGCTTTGGAGGCAAACCTTTTGGATTTTACTTACTGAAAGAGAGGGAACACTGGCTTTCTGAATGTGTGCTCTGTATGCTACAACTAATATAACATTATCTGAGCCCGTTTTGGCAAGTCTGCTCTTCCTAAAGATGGGATCTCCGCTCATTTCCTTTTTTAGGTCTGCAGTATTCTTTTGTACAAAACTGAGAATGAGCGGTACAGTGCTGAGAAGTGGAAAGATACAGCAAAGCTGATGGATGGTCTTTCCTTGCTTGCACCTCCTTTTCTTTCTCTCACCCTGCCCCCAAGAGCTAACTAGTAAACTGAATGAAAAATAGCAGTAATTATTTTTTCAGCTTTTACCACAAATACTGCAAGCCTTTGTTACAGAGAAACCCAAATATGGAAATTCAGCGGGTGCACAGCTCAGATCTCCCTGTCCTGCCAAAGTAATATGAATTTTCTTTCCATTTCTCAACTCCCCATGCTCAAAATCATATTTAAAAAGGGGAAATGATTTCTTTTGTTATGCTGCTGGCCAGAAGAGGGAGCAGAATCTATAAAGTAGTGGGAATAGACACCAGCAGAGAGAAGTCAGCTGAAGTCAGTCTAGCTCATGGTGTGGTATGTATCAAAAGACATTACACAGTTCATCCATCCCATTGGCTGTGTTGCTCAAATGCAAGAAAACCACCGGCTCCTCTTTGACGTATAGATATACATTGGAACAATTAAATTCTGAATATGAGAATGAAAAAAAGGTAGTGTGGAGTTTAAGCCCTAGCTTTGTAAATACTGCTTCTTTTTGGACCACAGACTCCCTCTTACATTGATTGATTTATGGGAGAGGTGTATTTGTGAAAATGAATTTTGTGGTAAAATGCTGGAACTTCCCCCGTGAAGAGTAGATCCAATCTTCTTTATTACCTGCACACAGATGAGAGGTTGGTCTGTTTACTGAAATGTATGAATTAATCATGTTTATTTTTAACACCTCAATGTTTAACCTTAAATATCACCTGAGAGACAGAGTTGATCACATTGCATGAAACATCTGCCTTCATAACCTCTTTGCTTCAGAAGCACATCTGAAGCTGTAAGGAAGTCGAGTGGCTGAACTTCACCTTTGTCAATCATTCAGATGCTGCGCAGCAGGACAGCAGATTTCAATAGCATGTAATTTGTTCTCTCACATAGGAGCCATGTGCCATAAAGCAGTATCCTCCCCTTGAGTGGGGTCCTTTGTCAGCATTGAGCTATATTATACGATCACATTTCCAAATATTTGTTCTTGTTTCTTTGCAGTGTCAGACCTGTTGTAAACTGAGGATGTTCCAGCTGTTCATAATTGTGAGGGACGAGAGTCAACATATTGTGCCTGCTGTGCTCATCATCTCCCTATTCCTTGATGACTGCAGCCTTGAAAAGTACCACTGTTGTAGTTAATATACATTCCTATTTAGTGTATCATACTGCTGGGAATTAGAAAAGGTGCTCCCAAGGTTTTAACCAGAGTTAATTTTGCACATCAGCCTGACACAGAGTATTGGATCCTATATTTGCCTATGTGCTAGCATTTTGACAAATCTAGTATTTGTTTAAACTGTGAATGCTGTCAGCCCTCTCTCTGAAACTGAGAAGCCTGAAATTGGACTGGGGACTTCTATCCCACAAGACCACTTTCTTAGTAACAACTTTCTGCACCATTTTTTGTGAAGACCCTTAGAGGAATCTCCATAGAATCACCAAATCATTTGTGTTGGAAAAGACCTTTATAATAATTTCTATGAAGCATTGCCTAATCACTGAAGAAACATTGTTTTTCAGAACATGAGAGATTTAGTACTAGAGACGAATTAGTGAGAAGACTCCAAGGACACCAGTTTTCAATTGGGTGAGCAGGAAAGACCTCAGGTGAATAAGAAAACTGAAGGACCGGTGGACAACTCATTTCTGCAGTGGAAGTGGGAAATTGCAGGAGGGCCGTAGAAGAGCAAAAGGGATAACGTAAGGGCACACTGCCAAACATCTGAGATGTCTTTGCACTAATGCTGAGAGTATGGAGAATAAACAGGAAGAACTGGAGATCTTGGGACACAACAAAAGCTACAGTTTAATCAGCATCACAGAGACTCAGTGGAATAAATTGCAGCACTTCAGCGTTAGCAGAAACAGCATAATTTGTGTAGGAAGGACAGGCAGGGAAAAAAGGAAGAGTATTATCCGGTATATTGGGAATGTGTAGAAGGCCAGAAAGGGGAGAGACAGAGCTGTTTGAGTTAAAATTGAGAGGTACTGTAAAGCTCTTCTAAAGGTTACTTAATGAGGAGGAGGAGGCCAATGTCGTGTTTTTTGAGCAACTACTGGGAGTGTCCTGAGGATGTGAGGTAGTGGTAAAAGAGGACTTTACATAACCAGATATCTGTTGTAAGAAAAACAAACAAGCATACAAAACCCAACAAAACCCCCAAACCAACAGCACAGCACAGACAGTTCCTCAAGATTTTGGAATGTGTTGGAACAACTTTTTGTTTTGAAGAGTGGAGGCAGTTACAGGAGACATGACTAGATAAGCTATGATAGATATAGCTAATAAAGAGAAACTTGCTAGAAGACAATTTGAACTCATACATCTGTGGAAAAGGAGGCTTGAGGGGAGGAGGGCAAGATGAAATGACTCTTGTAAGGCGGACTTCCTCATGTTGGGGAATTGATAGGGAAGGTTTGCAGGGAGGAACCAAAAGGAGCTTAAGGAAACAGGCAGTTTGGAGGAAGTCCTTATTTAAAGGTCCCATAGGAAGCTATCCTGAGCACACAGAAGAATTAAGAGGCACCAAAAATTACATATCAGCCAACCTGCCTCAGATATCTCAAATACTTTGAGAACTACTGCAGAAAATTCAAGTACTTCATGTAATGGCTACTGCAGAATGATAAGGTGATAAAATCATCCAGCATGAATTTATCCAGAACAAATCATATCCAAATGGTCTAATGTTCTGCTTTGATAAGAGTGAAATGTAACTCAAGCATTTAAGAAAATGGGTTTCCAAATGATCTTGCTACATTGAAAGAGCAGCTTGACATAAGTACAATGAAATGCAATATCAACAAATGCAAAATACTACACCTGAGGAAGGATAACCTCAAGCATAAGTTGTAAATCTGGCTACATTAATGGTTCTGCAAGAAAGAAACTGGAATGATTGCTGAATATGACATAATAAGTGATAGTGTTGCCCAGGATATTTCAGAATATAACAACTGGGATATTAGATGCCAGAAATACTCCATGGTGCTTTAATGGGGGTTCAGGCAAAGTTCTGTGTCTGGTTTTAGGGATTATATTTTTGCAGATCATTTTCTGATGTCTTCTGGACCATTGGTAGTCCGCTGATCACAAACTGACTAGTGAGGCCTGGGACCTAAATATATCTAGGCATGACAGATGAGTATGTAAGACTGGACAGCTCATGGTCCACAGACCAGGCCTTCTATGTTTTCTTTCTCTCTATTATCTGAGAAACATTTTCAAATACATCTACCAGGATGGGCCTTGCTTGGTTCCTTGCTATCAAAAGAGGAAGAAGTGGAGCTCCCAGGGACTCTGCATGGAGCGCACACAGTGAATGAGTTCTTTTCAGCACAAACTGCCTGAGACTGAGGAGAATTGGATGCCGTGGTACTCCTAAAAACTGTTATGCACTCATCTGCAATTAACTCCCTTGAGAAATACAAGCCTGAATTTTGCTCTTAAAATAGGAAAAGGAGGATTTATTGCAATGCCTATTGTGGCACCTAAACTGGGCAGTAGTCCTGCTGGGATGTCATTAGTACTGAGCAGAGTGGAATAAATGTCTCCCATAACTTTATGTAAGGCATTCAGTTTAATACAGTCAGCTGAATGCTTCAGAATGAGAGAGACCCTTTGTTTGCTCTCACTCCAGTGGAGTCCTGTGCTGGATGAGAGTCTCTTGTTGCCATCATAAACCAGACAATGGCTCATGGCATGACAACAATGTGCTGTTTTGATGGGCTTCTGTGAATTCACTAGGCATGATCTCCTGTAGATGCCAATGCTGGCCAGCAAAGTCCAAAACCTCAATCTGCCTAAAACCAGTTATTTCCACTTCCCAGTAGATATTTTGCAGCCAGCACTGCTGTGTCCTGCAGCTGATTCCCAAATACTTTTCAGCAACTGGGTTTTGTGTCAAGAGCTTTAATCTGCCATTGCTGTTCTGTTTGTCATTTACTACTCATTTTGGTTCAGATGAGGATCTCTGGAGAGGAGTTTTGGTCCTTACTGTGATCAACTAGATACAAGCAATAGAAAGCTCTGTTCCATCTTGAACCAGAAACCTTGCAAATCTGAGGGAAGGTAATTCTGGGATGTGTCTGCAGGCCCATGTATTTAGTGAACTAAATACACTGTACCTGGTAATCAGCCCCTTCACATGTGTCTTTCATTAGCGGAGAAGATCAGCATCCAATATGACACAGGCTCCCAAATATTAGTTGCTTTATTCTGTTAATTTAAAGTCAAATAAATGGCTACCACCATCCAGAACTGGAATTCTGTAAAACGTACTCCTGTCCCATTTGTCAATACCCTATGAGCAGACTCTTTTCATTAATGGCATCAAGGTTGTACAGACTCTTCACTATTGGCCAGTTGCTGGTTCCTTCTGTTCTTTTAGGCTAGAGTCTAAAAAACTGTTTAACCTGGGATGTACCTCTGCCAAAGGCTGGTCTGCTGGGTGGCAGTGCAAACAAATTCGTCATTGATGAAACAGGCAGCAGAGCCATCAAATGAAAAGTAGCTACAGCAAGTCCAAAAGAAAGGCTTTGAGAGAGAATGAGGAAATAAGGAGTGTTCATCATTTAAGGAATTCACAAGTATTTCTGACTTCACGTTTCTTTCTAAGGTGGAATGGGCCTCCTTAGGAGAGGATGAATGCCTGAGGCGTTGAGGCAGATGGGATCACCTTGGGGCCATTAGAAGTGTGGCAAACAATTTGAAAGCATTGCCTGGTTGACTTGTCATAGCAGTTGTCCTATGCAAGGGGAAGCTGTCTTCAACATGCATGAAAATGTTCTGTATTTTACTGTACTTCTCAGTGCTTTAGCTGTTTCAGTGTTTTCACCATTAAAGATGTGAAAGGGCTATAGCAGCCTAGAGAAAGCCCAAATGATGTACTCATATATAGCATGCTTTGTACAGCTTCATAGTCCTAGCATGTCTGCTTATATCTCTTGTTCTGGGTTCTGCTCTGTCCACTCTTAGCAACCAAGGACAAACTCTTTGGTGCAAATGCGGAATTTATTTCAGGTGACATAGCCCAGTAGTGATGTCTCCTCCTCCTACAACTTTGGTTCAGGTCTTTTCTGCTTGTGGCACAAGTTTCACCAGAAACTCCAGGGCATTTGGGCTCATAGCTTAGCAAGAGGGTTTTGTTTTGTGTGAGGAAGTATATGCATTCAAATTCAAAGCATATTGTTTTATGCAGTGTCAAATTCTGTGCAGATGGAACATGATATGATATGTTGAAGTGGGATATATAGCATACGGCCATAATTCAGGGAAACACATTTCTGCAGCTGGATACCTGCTATTGAGTTGGAAAACATGTGTACTGCATTCTTGTAGGCTTCTACCAGAACAGTAAGAGGACATGAAAGACAGGTCGTTCATGGGATTGAGTATGAGCTAATACTTCCATCTATCTCACTGTTTTCATAGTGTTGTTCAAAACTAAGCCTCCTGTTGTCACAAAAGGCAAAGTACATCTGAAAAAGAAGTTATTGCTGAGCTCTGCCCCCCCCCCCCCCAGGTTCATGCTGAGAAGCCAACATGTGCAAATAGGCTGCACCATTTTGCAGGGTTGTGACTTTGGGCTGGCATGACCATGCCTTCTCCTTTCCCATCCCTAAGAGAAGCAAAGCCCATGCTACCTCAGGGTGCAGCACTTCTTCCAGGCAACAGCCCCTGACTCATGGGTTCTGGGGATCCCCAAGGGTGCAGCACCCACCTCTTGTTCAGCCTTGCTGGGACACCACAATGAGTGGCTGAATGGGAGTGATTGATGCCTTTGGGTGAGGGACTGCCATTCTGCCTGGTTCCTGGATGGCCTTGCGAGGTATGGGCATGATTTTACAGCATCCCTAAGCTGGCAGGGGCTGAGCTGTACGTGGCAGACCTATTCCTTAAGGAAAACAGACCCATGGAGAGGTGAGCTGTAAATGACTTAAGCTGTATTAATCATCAACTTATGCGTCCTGCCAGGCAGAGGTAGCCTGTGCGTGCAGTTTCTTCTGTGGTTCAACTGCTAAATACCTCGTGGTCAGATTCATGAGTAATTACCTGCCTCAGCCTACTTTTAAATAATGAAGCAAGTATAGGCCATTGCCCTGGAGTGATCCATCCTTTTCAACGCTGCGTTCCCTGCCTGCTGATCACAAGCTCTGCTCCCCTGCACCCATCCAGGCTCTGACATCGCCCTGCTCCATGTCAGCCAAGCGCAGCTAGTGAATAACCATCCTTCTCCTTTGCTCAGGCTAACAATGCTCCCCTCTCACACCCTTTCCTCTGCTTTTTCTTTTGCAGACTGTTTGTTTTGCACTTAATTTTACCTTCAAGACCTTGTGCAACCGTTTACCAGTCTGGATGTTGTGGTTTCTCAGGGCACAGTCCTTCAGCCCCCTCAGAGATCAGCTCGTTCCTCTTGCTTCTCCCTCTCCCAGTTGTGGCTTTGTCCACATTATTGACCTGTCCTACTCTCAAATTCCATCTCTCATCACTGTCATAGCTACAGAAAATTGTATTTTCTTCAGGAGCACTGCACCCTTGAAATTCTGTTAGATCAGTTTACCCCCCACCCCAAGACTAGCCTGGCAAAATGCTAATGGTGAAGGTAGAGGCTGTCTCTACTGTGCAAGAAACATGTTTTCCCCATTGCCTTTTTTTTGCTTTCTCATTTTTACTGGCTACAGTTTTTACGCTGCAAAGCTCTTCCCTCCAGTTGGAAAAGACAGATTTTTAAGGAGAATGAAAGGGATCTTTATGTGGGAAAAATATCAATGAAAACAGAATTCATTTGTTGGTATTAAAGAAGCTTTTGCAAGGATGGCGGTAAATTACCATTTTCTGTGGCTTTTCATCTCTGCCTTCTCCATTCTTTCAATACCAAACACCAAGCGAAATAAGACAAGGCAAAGATCTAAAAATTTCAAGTTAGTTTTTATGAACTGAGTGACATTTTCAGCCACATGGCAACCCTCCTCACCGCAGACTGGTTTTAGGGTTTTTATTTCTTGCAAAATCAGTGGCTGTTCCTCTCTGTGGCAGGAGCTGCTTGGGGCAGGGGGGGATGCTCTGAGACCCAGTGGTCTCAGCAGGTGCAACCAGGTGCAGGTAAATGTGCTGGTTCCTGGTGCACCGTGGGACCCCCTGGGATGTGATGGTGGCCCCAGGAGCAGGGACAGTGCCTTCCCATGCTGGGCACACACTTTCCTGGCACAGCTGAGCAATAAACCCCAGCACTATGCTCGGCCACACACTGGCTTTTCCCAAGTGCACTGATGGCTCCTGCTTGACCTAACCTGACACAACTTGCATGGTGCAACCCATCCCTTGTTTTCACAGATTCAAAGAGATTCCTCCTAGAAAGCTGAGGGAAGCAGAGAAATATGTATGTGACCTGAGGGCAAGCATAGGTGGCTCCTGTGGCAGAGACTTCTGGAGCAGCCCAGTATTTCCCTCTTGCAGATAGCTTGGGATGCATCTAGATCTGGCAAATGCTATAA